CTATATAAATAGGCCCTTTTCACAATGACGTCATGTGAAAAGGGCCTATAAACTGAATTTAATTGAATTGTGGGGCGGGGCTTAAATCTGGCCCTGAAGCCACCTGTTGATAGGCAGGGCCCACAGAGAGGCTTCTGGGAATATTTCTTTGAACTCGAGGCTTTGTTATTTACACTTTATTGTATTTTCACTCATTATTTTTGATTTGTAAAATAAATTCACTTAAGAGGAGACATTCTGTTTTATTCCTTTATAGCCTAAATATATTTTACTGTTTTATAACATTTGTTGCGGTGTGATAACTTTGTACTGTTTGTTTATTTAAGAAAAAAAAAAAATCCAGAAAAGGAGTTCAATGAAAGGATAATTTTTATTTAATTATCATGGTTTCTGTTTTAATTTATTTTTGAGTGTTCGTTTTGTGCACTTTGTTTAAGGGAAAAAATCCAGCCATCACAAGGTCTGGGGAAATCATTTTGTTACTGTTGCATTTTTTCAGTAAAAAACTTTTATTATAATAAAGTTTTTTTTTTTTTTTTATCTATAAACTTTGCCTAATTCTATCCTGGATTTTAACAAATAAATGATCCGAAGGAAAAATCACATAACACTTAAACGTCATCAAAATTCACCGTAATTATTTTAAAGTATCGTATCGGTATCAGTACCGGCGATATTGGACCAGTATTTATTTGGTATGGATGGATAACAAATTTTGCAGTATCACACGCCACTACTGTTCGGGGCACAGAACAAGTTCCAGCTTCAACGTCCAGGTTCTGGTCCAATGTCCACAAACATTTACAGTGTTTGGTTCAGAAACTAGAATACTTAAAGTGTTCAAACCTGGAGCTACTAAAGTAAAAAAAAATAAAAAAAAAAATAAACTCTTTCTTGAACTTACATTAACATATTTAAAAAAATCACTAGTTTAGTTTATTGTTGAACAGCTGAAGTGTTAATTTTTTAAGTAGCCGTGCACATGTAGAATGTTGGAACAGCCCTTTAATGCCTGTGGAATCATACACTAACTTCAGTGTAAAGGCTGCACTGCCCCCTCCCTCCCTGTCTCCCTGCCCATCCCTTGTCCCTGTCTGTCTGTCCACACCTGTCCCTCTGATGTGTCTCGCGTGCAGCAAAGGGTTGAATTAAGTAAAATTTTCAAAGAATCGCACATTTCAACAATAAAACTTCACTAAAAGAGCCCTTTATAGAATTGCACGTTTGTTTAAGTGCGTAAAGCTCCTGGTGTGCCAGGTACTGGTTTTCACACGGTCATGGACCGTGTTCGGTCTTATCTGAACCAGTTTCGGGTCTTGACTCGTCTGTTGATGGCAGCTGCAGCCTATGGGTCAGAACTAGCCGAGCCTTCGTCCAGAATCTGCACAGATCTGTTTTTTTAAACAAAGTCCTGACGAGGCATTTCCTGTCTCACCCAAAAACTCTTCATTTTTCTGCTCCAAGCTTCGGACTCGGTTCTGACTGCAACACGGAACACGGGCCTTTTACGGGCCTAATCATTAAAGACATGGTTCTTTTCCCTTTTTTTCCTCCCACAGTCCAAACACCTGCAGGTTTGGGGGACAGAGACACCCGGGTGTCTTTGGTGGTCCTGTGATGGACCTGTCCAGGGTTCAAAGACCACCACAGACCCTACACGGGATCAAGCAGCTGTTGTGTTGTAGAAAACATCTCTGCTTGCTCTGATTTGAAGACGATCGATCGTCCATTAAACCTTCTGAGTGTGTGAGCGTTAGGTTCATCGTGTCCTGAAGAAAGGCTGTCCGAAGGTCCGGACCGGTCCGTGGTGTCTGAGGGGGCTTGGCTGTAAAACAGACACCCAGCAGGCCCCCTGGGGATGAACCGAGGCCTGCAGGAGATCTCAAGGTGAAATGTTTGTTTTGATCTTCAGGAAGTCTTTGGACTGGAGAGATCTGCAGAACATGAAGGTCTCTGCAGGTCTCGGTCCTCAGGGTGTCTTCAGGACAGACTCTTCACTCAACTCATTGATCTGAGACAGACAGTGAGGTAGAACCCAGTCCTGTTTGACTCTCCAGCTCCAACTTCAACTGACTCGTCTCTTTTCAGTTCCTCGTCTCCTCCAGTCTTCAGTCTCTGCCCCCCCCCCCCCCCCCCATAGTGTCTCTGCAGAACTGATGGTGTCCTCTCATAGGTCAGAGGTCAACACCCAATCTCCCATTGACTTTCACTGTATCTGAGCTTCCAAACAGGAAGTGAAGGTGCTGTTTATAACTTTCTTACTCCCTCCATCAAACCATCAAACAGAACCTGTGGTACCACCAGAACCTCCTGAAGAACTTATTTGATCCAACTTGTAGTTTTCACTCAGAGACTGTCTGAGGCTTACTTTATACTCTGCCCCTCTCTCTTCTGCTCCCTTAAACAAAAGTGATAATTGTCATGGCAACCAGTGACTCAGCAGCTTCTGGGTCTTCTATATTACCCAGCATGCCTTTCTTCCTCTTCTGTCTCCATCATGGCCGCCCCCATCAATCCTTCATGTCATCTCTGATCGGACCTTGGTGTTCAGGAGGATTCAGTCAGAGGGTCGGCAGAAAACAGGAAGAGGACTGAACCTGGAGTTTCAAAATAAAGCACATAGCTACACTTCAAAATAAGAGTCTGACTTTATTTGTTTAAGTTTGTTTGTCAAAACAATCTCTGTTTAAGAATTTGTTTGTTTGTTTGTTTGTTTGTTGAAACAGCTTCCAGTGTTTGGGCCAACCTTTGTTTACCTCTGAGGTATGTGGCCGTGAACAGCTGGATGAAGACTTCCAGCTGAACGTTTCTGGGTCAGAACACGTTGGTTTCATGTTTTTAGAGCTGCACACCGAGTGACGTTCACCTTCTGAACGAGCCGGGTCTGAAGCAGAACTTGGGCCGAGCATCTAAAACAGAAACGGTGTCAGAGCATGAAAAACCTTCCTGACTGCAGCGCCGAGCGTTTCACCGGGCCGGGCCGGGCCTGCCGCCGCCTGCTGAGCCGTTTCCTCTTTGATCCCGGCCCTGCAGCCATATGCAAAGCAGGCTGGGAAGATGGCGGCCTGCTGCGAGCGATCAGAACCCAGAGAGGCTCGCTGCACTCTCAGAGGGTTCTGGACCGAGGGGAGCCAATACGCCAACACACAGACACCGACATGCTCTCTGAGGTCAAAGGTCAGCACTGATACATCCATCCCTGCAGGAGTCTGGATCTTATTAAAGAATCTGGTCCAGAAGAAACTCGGTCAGCACCAGGAGGACTCTCATTTAAAGGGACAGTTCAGTCATTTTCAACATGTTGTAGAAGCTCTGCTCTAACTTCATGTTCAGCTCACGGCTGACGGTGGATCACTGCTGCACAGACAGCTCCAGTCACAAATAATTAATTATTAATCTACTTTTATTAACCCTTACAGGTTTTTATTACACGGTTATTAACAGCTGCAGTAGCAGCTAGCACTAGCACTTTCTGTGCAACCTTTGGTCACTTCCTGCAGGAACATACTGGGTCTGAGTATAACCAGTTTTTGTATAATCCTGGACCTGGAGGGCCACTACCGTGCAGGTCTGACCGGTTTCCTGCTCCAACACCTGGTTCAGAACTGGAATCAACTCGAGTGTTGGAGCCGAGGAACATCTAAAACCTGCAAGGTAGAGGCCCTCCAAGACCAGTACTGGACAGGCACCTGAGGAACTGGTGACCTTCTGAGATAGTTGAAATGCAGGTCTGAAACAGACTCAAAACAGGTCTGAGCCGGACCCAGAACTGAACCAGACGTCTCTGAGCTGGACCCAGAACAGGAGAAAAGCAGCAGTTCAGGTTCTGGGCTCCGGGATTACAGAATGAATGCAGCTGGGATGATTGCAGATGAGCTCAAATACCAACAAAACCTCCAAACTATGACAGGTAGTATCTTACCTGTTCAGGATAGACCTTTGAACGACCTCAGTCTGGAGAAAAGTGTAGAGATGGAAAGTTTGTGGTGAGAACGACGTAAACGGATTTCTGCTAAATCAGAGACAGAAGCTGAAAAAAATCTGTTGACAGGTTTTAACAGAGTTTTCCTTCATCACGAGAAACATGTTGGTTTCACTAAAAATAAAATAATTAGTGCAGTTTCACTTTCAGCTGTCAGTGGAATGACGGGAACAGAGAGGAAGAAGAAGAAGAAAAAAGTTTATTTTTATTCTTGTTCTTCTACAAGACAAACGAGAGCGTAGACGTGGGGGTGCTGCACACACACACACACACACACACACACACACACCATTATTGGAACCAGCTGCTAATGTTTATTCAGCCACAAGCTGCAGCTGCGTTGCCACGGCAACAAAACAACGCTCAGTGAGGACAAGAGACTCTTACCAAGGGTTAACAAGACAAGTGTCCACATAGACACTGAGACATTAGACCAGACATTTGTCCACATAGAAACACAGACATTAGACACTGGATGAACAATACCTGATCTGGAATAATACCAGACCCTTACCAGGAACCAGGTCCCGTAGATGAGCTCATGGTAGCCAGGTCCTGAGAACTTTTAGACCCCTCAGAACATTTGGGCCCCTGAGATCTTTTAGGCCCCTGAGACTCTTTGGACCCCCCAAGACCTTTTAGACCCCTCAGAATCTTTAGGCCCCTGAGACCATTGGGGTCCAAGAAACCTTTTCAACCCCTCAGAACCTTTGGGCCCCTGAGACCCTTTGGGCCTGGAGTCTGTGGTTCTAACAGCAAGTCTCTTCTAAGATCCAAACAAATAAAACATGCGCTGCAGAGAATCATTCGTAAACTTTAAAAAATAAAAAAAATGTTCTGTTTCTCATGGAACTGAGGTTAAAACTAAAAAAAACAAATCGTTAGGATGAAATATTTGTTGTTGGCACAACTTTATTTTGAAAATACAGAAAGTAAAAATACAATGTTGTTTCTTTTATTAGTGACTTTCATGTTTTTAAAAGCATTTAAATATAATGAAGAATTACCAACTCTGGATTAGGAGCAGCTCATTCACACTTCACATAATTTATAAATAATATTAATAATAAAGAACAAAGTCGTCTTAGAGATGCTCCAAACGTCACATCTTCAGCACTAAAGGGTTGCACTGACTGTCCCGATTGATCTTATTGAACAGCTTGCATGTTGACATGTATGACCTGTCGACCAGCTGACTTCCTGTTGGAGCAGGAAGTCATGCGATCACTTCCTGTAGCCTCTGGATCACAGCAGACGCCACCTTCCTGTACGCCTCTGCCTGGACGAAGAAAACAAAAGGACCTTCAGGAGCTCTGAGTGAGGATCAAACATTTAGGACCGAAGGCTCTTTCCCCACAGATCAGTGAGTCTCAGCTGCTTCTGATCGATCATTAATCACTGATGGACCCCGTCCCGTTCACACGTGAGCTCTCAGAAAGGAAGCGAGGATCGAGGGACCAGAAGAGGCGTGGAGCAGAACTCAGCTGGATCAACCTGGAGCTTCAACACGTTAACTGTGTTTGTTTCCCAAATGAACTCAGTTTAGTTTTTTTTACTAAATACAAAGCTGCCGTGCGTCGTTACTGACCTTCCCAAGATCGGTAATAAATTGTTTTTTTAATGCTGTGAACAGGTTCACCACAGTACTGAGCCGGCTTACAGTTTCACATGAGGACCGTTTCACCTCTGTTACTACATACTGTAGCTTTACAGCAAAGAGGAGAACCAGGTGGGTTAGCTTCAACCCCCCTTGCTGCCTCGGCCCATTCAGAAATCACACAGAGGAGTCCAGAAGGTGCCAAAGTCCTGGACTGAGGTGTTTTCTAAGCATGTTGCTAAAGCAACTTAAAGTGACTCTGAGTATAAGAGGAGATCAGAGCAGAGAAGTGCAGAGGATATTTAAATACAGATAAATAAAGTCGCTTTGCATCGATGAGTGCGACTCCACTCGGCTCTCGACTTATCGGTTCTTCTCAGGTGTTGTGATTTGCCACTGAAACTTAGTTTCCCCGTTCTGTGGGCGGGGTCGTCAATGCAAAGTGGGCGGTTTCTTGTTGCGCCGTCCAGCTCGCGCTGAATCCTCTGATCCACCAGTAAACACAGACAGGTCTGGACCTCGTCGTTGGTCCACGGTACTGCTTTTGGAGATTCCATAATGAACTAGAAACTTTGTAGAAAACTAGACAAAACTAACCAACACGACAACGATCGGCGGGGAAGTGGAGGTTCACATGTAGTATGTCCACTCCTTCAGATGTTTACCTGTAAACTGACCTTCAGAAATCTGTAGAATTAAAAAAGGGCAGGCCCTTAATGGCGCTTTGCCACTGTCTCAACTCTCATCGGCTCCGCCCCACACAGCACCAGTTAAGGGCCTGTCCACTGCCGGTACCACCTCTACTCATCTTGGTTTAAACTGTAGAACCACCTTGTTTGTGGTTCTAAGCGGGCTGCTCTGAGGGACGATTCTGACGTAAGCAGACAGCAGCCGTTGATTGGCCAGCAGAGCTACGTCACTGGATGACCCGCCCAGCAAAACTACATCAGAACCGCCATTTCCTCATCGTGTTGACGACAATGCCACAAGAAACAAGAACATTTACAGAGAGATATCAGCGATGATGGCACAGCATGGCAACACCCGGACTTATACGCAGCGCCGGGATAAGTTAAAGGAGTTGAAGTCCGATTAAAGGACGATTAAGGACCACAACAGGTGGAGTGGCTCGATCACAATGGCCAATTATGATCCCGCCCATGTTGCATTGATGATCCCGCCCACAGAGCAAAGAAACAGGACACAGTGACAAATCACCTCCACCTGAGAAGATCCACTAAGATCTGGAGCCACTCATCAATGGCAAAGCAGCAGTCGAGTCAATTACAGTAGGATGGAATCGAGTTGAGTAGAGTAAAGTAGAGTAAAGTAGAGTATAATCGAGTTGAGTAAAGTAGAGTAGAGTTGAGTTGAGTAAAATAAAGTAGAGTAGAATAGGTTCTAGTCAAAAAGAGTAGAATAGAGTTGAGTCAAGTAAAGTAGATTAGAATAGAGTCTAGCCGAGTAGCATAAAATGGAATAGAGTCGAGTAGAATAGTTTAGTAGAGTAGAATAGAGTAGCAGCCAAGTAGGGTAAAATAGGGTTAGGTCAAGTAGAATAGAGTTAAGTAAAGTAGAGTAGAATAGAGTAGCAGCCAAGTAAAGTAAAATAGAATAGAGTTGAGTCGAGTAAAATAGAGTTGAGTCGAG